CCCCCCCCCCCCCCCCCCTCTCTCTCTCTCTCTCTCTCTCTCTCTCTCTCTCTCTCTCTCTCTCTCTCTCTCTCTCTCTCTCTCTCTCTCTCTCATCATGACCTCCTCCTACCTAACTCCTCCATCGTCCATCACCTATCGTCCACGTGCCACCTTCTCTCACATTGTTCCTGTCCCCTCCGCATGTGTTCTCTCACCTCCTCCCTCCTCTCACCTCCTTTCTACCTCCCCCTTCCTCCTGACTCCTTCCACCAACCCTCCTTCCTCCACGTCCCACCTTCTTCCACCTCCTTTCGCCTTCCTCCCTCCACGTCCCTCCATACCTCCCTCCTCTTTTCCTCCCACCTCCTTTCTCCTTCCTCACTTGTCCTGCTCGTTTCTTCCTCCATGCACACCTGTCTCCCACCTCCTTCCTGTTCCACGTGCGAGCTGTCCTAAGGGGATCCCTCATCCTAACCCCTCCCGTGCCTAGTGGCTGACCCCCCCAGATCTCCAGCTAGCAATGGGTCCCCCTACTCTAATCTTGCCCCAAGAAACCTACCAACACCGACCACAGTCTGTACTAAGTCTCACTCTCATCAACCGTTCCTGAGTCTATGGGCGGTGTGTAGGTCTCTTGGTCCTGCCTCCCACTAGGTAAGTGAGTTTTGAACACACAACCTCATCCATGCAATCTCCTATCGAACCACAACCTCATCCATGCAATCTTCTATCGAACCTACTGAGCTACTGTGGAAACTGAACGATTTGTACGCAATATCGAACTGGAAGGCAAATGAACAATCATCCTCAAGTATGCAAGCCCACAAAGAACCACTAGAACCAAGAGCATCAGGCAAACATCCCACACCCCAAACCCAACATACAACAACCATGGACTTGCCCCTGAGTGGTGCACAAGCAGTGTCTGTAATAGCTTACATGCGTCAGCCCAGGGGAGTGTGTCCAGTCGTGCGTCATCCTAATGCCCTGCCGCCGCTGCCGGTGTCCATGCGCAAGGCTGCAGAGTTTTGAACCCACAACCTCATACCACAATGCGCATTTCCAACCGGTGCTCTAACCACTGAGCTACATCAACTGGACTTAAGTCCAGGGTGTTGTAGAGACCAGTTACTAGGCTCACATTGATCACCGGAAGCGGTCAGCCATGGTTGCCCTGAAAAGACGAGGCTTGTGATAAGCTCCGACCCGTACCACGCGGCTTCCCTTATCCCTGAGGAAAAATCCCTCGAAAGCCCCGAGGCACGGATGCGGACAAACAGGGGTTTTTCTTTCTTTTTGTTTTTGTTTTTCTTTTCGAAACGGCTTTTTCATTCTGTTTGGTTAATAACTCCTGCGCGGGCGAATAGCGGCCGCGGTATGAAAACCAAGAAACGGGGGCGGTTGGGACTTTTTGAATTTTTGCGTGCGCACGCCTAAGCTCCGATTTCTTCGCGCGTCTCGCATCCCCGTTTCTTGCTTTGCAT